AACTTCTTTTAATATGTTGATTGACTTACCAAGTTATTAGTGATATTTGTTTACTTTCCCTAAAAAGTGCTTCTAGTTTTACCTAGGAAGACTGGAACAGAATAAAAGCTAACAATGCCATTTTAGCAATGAAAACAGTGTGATAGATATTTTGGGAAAAAAGTTGTCTGCAAACAGTAACTCTTAAGAAATTATAGTTCTCCATAGGTAACTGTCTACCTCTGGTTTTAATTTATAAGTTGGAGCTTTTCATTTTACCAGTAGGTGATGGATTATTTTCTTCTAGATGTATTATTATGCTATGGCATTATAGAAACGTTTCTACTTCTCTCCTGTCCATTGACAAAAAAATAGATTTCCTCCTTTCCCCCTCTCAGTTTAGCTTTTTAATACCATGTTTATTTCATATCTCTTATTTATTTATTTTTTAAACAGGGCAACCCCATTAAATTAAAAAAAAACTTAACAGGAAGCTATTATGCACTAAGAGGTTTGCTTGGACAGCAAACAGGGCGAACAGGCAGCAAACTCTTCAGGTGAATCAGGCAGATAAAGCTTTTTAGAAAGGATCCTTTTGAGAGATTGGTTACAAAAGGGCAGGACTAGCTGGAGGTAGAAACCAGCAGCCTATTTCCCTAACATATGATATTTGGATAAGTCACTTTGTTATTGATTGATTGATTTTATTTTTTATTTTTACCTTTTTTTTTTTAAAGATTTTATTTATTTATTTGACAGAGATATAGAGAGAGAACACAAGTAGTCAGAGTGGCAGGCAGAGGGAGAGGGAGAAGCAGGCTTTCCGCTGAGTAGGGAGCTGGACATGGGGCTCCATCCTAGGACCCCAGGATCATGACCTGAGCCAAAGGCAGCCGCTTAACGGACTGAGCCACCCAGGCACCCCTGATAAATTTTATTTTTAAGTAGTCTCTACACCCCACATGGAGCTCGAACCCACAACCCTGAGATCAAGAGTCACATGTTCTTCCGACAGAGCCAGTCAGGTGCCCCTGGATTAGCCCCTTTGGAAATATGTCTGGGAGGTTCACTCTTCTTGGTAAGTCCATTCCATCTTAACTTCTTTGGATTTTACCTCAGTAACAGTATTTTTGTAGAAGACGTTGGATTTTGTCTTGTCATTTTTGTCATTTATAGGATTAATATATTTAATAACGCAATGAAATTCTTTCAATTATTAAGGCGTAATTTTTATTTTACATTTACTTTCATTTTTCATAATGTTTTCTTGTCTTCTCCTATTTGCTTCTTTTCCTGAGTTGTCTGACTTCCTTGTGTATGTGTGTGTGTGCGTGTGTGTGTATGTGTGTGTATGTGTTTTGCCACACTTCCTCTTTTCTCTTCTGCTTTTCCAGAATATCTGGCCTGTAGAAAATAATAAGGACTGTGTACTTTTGAGAATAGTCTTTATAGATTTAACTGATATAAAAGGGAAATTCCATTGCATCACATCTCTTATCCCCTCAGCTTCCTTTTTTAAATTTAGATTTTACTGAAGCCAGGTTCCAAAGAGGTAATACTAAGCACTGATGATTTTTTCCTAGACTTCTCAGCTAAGGTCATACCACTTTTGTCCCCTCAATAGGCTACCTGGAAGGAAGAGACCATTTTACATATTTCTCAGACATTCCCTACATAATCATCACAGTGTTTCTCAAAGGGTTAGATTCACTTGGGTGCTGGTAAGAATGCATACTCATATGCTCTACCCCAGATCTAGAGTCAGAATCTCAGGAGCCTGCAGTTTTATTTTTCATGCACTGAACTTTCTGCTGTGTCTTAACCTGAGTTTTTGGTCACTGCCTGGATTTGCTTACTTGAGTATATATATACATATATATATTTAAAGATTTTATTTATTTATTTGAGAGACGGGGGGAGAGAGAGCACGAGGTGGGGGGGGGCAGGGAGAGGGAAAAGCAGGCTCCCCGTTGAGTAGGGAGCCTGATGCAGTTCTCGATCCCTGGGACCCTGGAATCATGACCTGAGCTGAAGGTAGATGCTCAACCGACTGAGTCACCCAGGTGCTCCCTTGAATATATTTTCGTCCACTTACTCATACTCAATACATCCCAAACTAAACCATCCACTGGCCATCTCCAATTCTTTCATCATGCTATCATCCCTGGACTCATCTTTGGAGTCATTCTTCTTTGTATTCCATATCTTTTTTTTTTTAAGATTTTTTATTTGACAGAGAGAGACAGAGAGAGAGGGAACACAAGCGGGGGAGGGGGTGGGAAGTGGGAGAGGGGGAAACAGGCTTCCCGCTGAGCAGGGAGCCCAACGCTGGGGCTCAATCCCAGGACCCTGAGATCATGACCCAAGCCGAAGGCAGACGCTTAACAACTGAGTCACCCAGGTGCCCCTGTATTCTATCATTTTAAAAATAGTTTTATTTAAGTAATCTCTATACCCAACATGGGGCTCGAACTCACAACCTGAAATCAAGAGTCACACCCTCTTCCGACTAAGCCAGCCAGGCGCTTCTGTATCCATCATTTTTTACTTAATCGACTTACTGGCCTTTGTGCCAAGTACTGGGAAAGACAGTAAAGAACAAGACAGATCATGGGTCATGCCCTCAGGGTTGGTAAAGATTCTTTTATGGAGAGTAACTTAATCCTGTAGATTCTTTTGTGTTTTTCTCAGAATACTCCCTTACTTTCTTTGTCAGCACCCTAATCTAGAATCTCATCACATATGTTTGGACTGCCGTAATTTTTCCCTAATTAGTTTCTTTGCTCCTAATCTCCCACCTCTTCTGAAAGATTAATCTGCTGAAAACTTAATCTTCAAAACAACACGTTGAATATATTTTACCCCCTTGCAATGCTTTCATTGTTTCCAATTGCCTCTAGGTTATTTTCCAAAGTGGATTCAAGGCTTTTACAATCTGGTCCCCAGATGAATTTTTGCTGAATAAACTTTTCCCCCTATGAAATAGATATCTGAAATTGATGTAAGCATTTTTACTTATTTATTTTCTGGGCTCATGACTTTAATTATACTTTCTGCTTGACCAAGCTATACTTTTCTCTTACGGCCCATCCCCCAACCCCAAACATGGCTGGCCCTTAGCACTTGCTCTTGTTTCTGCTCTTATGGCATTTTTCTGCTTTACTCATTAAGCATTTAGCATGTGCTCTTTGGTAACGTTACTTATCTTTGTATGTATTTTTCCAGTTCTTCAATTATTCCTTAAGCTTCCTGAATGCAGGAACAGTGTTTTATAAATTTCATCTCTCCCTTGCCTAGTCCAGGCCTATAGGTACTATTTGATAAATATTCGTCAGATTCTTTACACTTATTTTTTAATGCATTCCTTCATCAAGAAATTATTAAATGCCCCGTAAGAACCAGTATGGTCCTGTCTTTGATAGAGCTTACAATTTAGTTGGAAAAACGGGCTTTAAGCAAATAATTAAACTGAGACCAACTGCTTTATTCGTTAGTCAGGAAATATTTAATAAGCACCTATCACAGGTATGTTACATGTTGGGAATACAAAGCTGAAGCAAATAGGCTAGTAGAGGAGAATCATATATAAACCACTAAAATAAGGATGTTATAAGTGCAAACAAAATATCCCAGGAGCACAAAGTAGGGAGGGTGTAAACATCTCCGCTGAGGTGTCAGTAAGACTTCACATTTAAGTTGGGTCTTGAAAGTGAAGTTAAATAAGGGTTTGGGTAATGCAATGTTCACACAAGGAGGGTGGTTCTTGGAGATCTGATAAGCTCATTCCTATATCATATTCTGAGCAGAAACATGAGCTGGTAATAGGAAGGTAAGCAGCAAAGGCAGAGTTGAGGATGACAGCCTTTTGATGAAACCCTGCTCAGATGAATGGCTAAGTCTTTTTGCGGGGCCTTCATCTAGGCCCTTCCCTGGTTCTGTCCCTTCAGCATGGATAAAGGTTCCTAGGGAAAGGTCTTCAATACAAGGACAGAATTAAATCTGGGATCTTTCCCTCTAAGAATCACAGGATGACAGAGTTGGAAAGGATATCGAAAATCACCCAGTTGTTTCTAATTTACATCCCCCAGAATCTTGGGGATTCTCAAAATGGCAAATGAAAATCTGTATTCAATTTTCGACGTTCCAAAAAACTACCAGAAATTGCACATCTTTTCGTGGTCTTAACTGCCAGGTTTTCTTGTTTTGTGCTAGAATTATATAAGATGCACATTATATCAAAATTCCGACTGAATTGTGTTCAGATTAAATATAATTTGTTTTCCCATTATTGTTATGCTTAATTTGGTAAATAATTTTTCAAGACACAAGAGAGCATGGTCGAACCAATAAAATTGATAACATTTGCTACAATGTTTGCAATCTACAAAGTACCGTTCACTGACTTCATCTTAATTATGCCTCACAATACTGTTGAATGGTTTAACATCAGAGCCCAGACTCCTTGACTCTCAGTCCGGTGCTCTTTTCAACTGCTCAGAGCTCCTGCGATTTTGTCTCGTGTCCCGATCTACAGAGCCTTTAAACCGCGACTCGGAAGCACCTGCCCTGCCCTCACCACTGGGTCACACCACCTGCCTCTTGCGCGACAGAGACCGCTCCCTCTCCACGTTCAGGAATGCTGCTCGCCCCTACGCAGGCGTGGTGCAGCGACTCCGCGCCCGCGCCGCTCCGAGCCTGAAGCCGAGACCGTGGGCAACCGCGAGGGTCGGAGCCCAGAGCGCGTGCGCAGTCCCTTTGCGAGTACTCCGCTCTTCTCCCAGCTCCCAAACCATTGTGCCACCCTATCATTCATTCCACTCTCCGTAGCGCTTTCACCTTTTAGGACTGCCTGCCACCGACCCCCGCCCGCCGCGGTACGTCACGAGCGGCAAAAGCTGTGGACGAGCGCGGCAGGCGTTGCTAGGCCGCCACCGGGGGCGCGCTGCGCGCGTCCGAGCGGCCCGCGAAGTTGTCTCCGCCGCCGCTCCCGCCCCTTCCGCCGCTCGCGTGCGCGCACGGCCGGCCCTCGGCGCGCCCCGGTTGGCTGCGGCGGGGCCCGCGGCGGTGGCGGCCTCGGCAGCGGTAGTGGTTTCTCGGTTTTCTTAGTTTCCTCCGCCCCCTCTTGTCGGACGCTGCTGTTTGCTCGCCGTAAAAAAAAATCAACTTTATTGTTCCTCAGCCCCACCTCCCGGCGCGGCGCGGCCTCAGGATGCACTGAGGCTGAGGGGAGGGAGGCGGCGGCGGGTCGCGGTCGCGGACCCTCTCCGAGCGCCCAGCCGGAGGTGGGGGAGTCACGATGTCCGGGAGCCGCCAGGCCGGGTCGGGCTCCGCCGGGACCAGCCCTGGCTCTTCGGCGGCCTCCTCGGTGACTTCCGCCTCCTCGTCCTTGTCCTCCTCCCCGTCGCCCCCTTCCGCGGCGGCGGCGGCGGCGGCGGCGGCGTCCGGCGGGGCGGCCCAGGCCGCGGGGTCGGGCGGCCTCGGGGGCCCGGCGCGGCCTGTGCTGGTGGCCGCCGCCGTGTCCGGCAGCGGCGGCGGGGCGGTGTCCGCGGGCCTGTCTCGGCTCAGCTGCGCGGCCAGGCCCAGCGCCGGCGTGGGAGGGAGCAGCTCCAGCCTCGGCAGCGGCAGCAGGAAGAGACCTCTGCTTGCCCCCTTGTGCAACGGGCTCATCAACTCCTACGAGGACAAAAGCAACGACTTCGTGTGGTGAGTTTGAAGAGCATCGCCCTCCCCTTCGCTGAATGAGGAGTTTGCCCTGTTTGGGCTGGTGGGGTCCGGTGGGATGGTGGTCTGGTTGGTGCCGTGGTGGTGTCTTCAGACCTTCAGGCTGGTGGTTGATGGGGTGAGATGGGGGAATGTTGGGAGTCCCGAGGCAAGGGTGGTGGGGGTGCTAAAGAGGTCAGTGCTGGTGGAGAGGAAGTGAGGGGAGTTGAGGGAATAATTAATAGGGGGCCGGAAGGAAGGTCAGATGAATGGTTGTGCACAAAAGGAGAAAGTTGGCCCTTGAATTTTCTGGCTATCTGGTGAATTAGGTACCCCGTCGGTCCGGATTGCTTCTTGGAGTGAATTAAACTTGTAAAAGGAGAGGATTAAGCTTCCTGGGATGCTGAGGGATGGAGTTGGTCATAATTTGCTTATTGAAAGTATGGTAGATGGTGCTCTAGACGTGCGTATGGATATTTTAAGGAGCAGTAGTATTTCATGTCTGTATCCCCTCGTGCGTGTGTGTGTGTATAAATATCCTCCCACTTCAAAGGGTAGGCCACTTTTAAATCTGCTGTTGAGGCTACTGTAGTCATAAAGTCTGTTCACAAAAAATTCCACTTGTCACTGAATGCCTTGAAAGAGGGAACCACATTTATTAAACATTATCCATGTGTCAGATGTAACTGACATTTGTATAACAGGCTATATAGTGTACTGGAACTTCTGATTTGAGAAACGCCAGGTATTAGACATTTTGTCATCATAGTTGGCACCTTGAATGATACACAGCAGTATTCAGTTATGATATTTGGCATAGATGGGTTATCCACATTAAGTGAAAGATGGAGTTGATGGTTTTGCTGAAAGTGTTTCGAGATTTTTATTGTTTTTGGAATCCAGAACCCAGTCCAAATGGTAGGATTATGAGAAAGGAATTGCTTTTAGCTAAATGAGAACGGGTAGGATTTTACGCTTTTCCTTTGAAGGAAATTGTTGATAGAATATTAGTAGGAAGTTGGCCTGCACTGTCGTTATAGGGGAAGTGGATTTACTTCAGGGTTGAAGATGATGTGAGTTGGCATCATTAAATAAGATAGGGCTGGAAGCTGGAACTGTCGGAAGGATATTGATTAGGCTTAAGAGTTTCTAGTTCTTGCAGTAAAAATATCTTCATTCATATTTTTGCTTTGGTCTTAAATTATTCTGGACTCAGAATTAACTCATTTTTCATTGAAACCTGGCTATAAATGTGATTGTTATTTATAAATAATTCAACCAGCATATGGGTGGATCTAAGAGGTGTTTGTGCTCATACCCAGTAGAGTGCCATATGATGAAGTAGAAGCTGATAAAACAAAATGAGGATTTTCAGAATTTGTCTTTTTAGCCACGATTTGCATTTTAATTTTTAATAGGCTAAAAGAAAACAAATATGCCAGCATTCATATAGGTGCACTGAAATAGTGTAGAAGATGTGAGAAATAAGGGAATCAATAATTTATTCAACAGATATTTATTTGGCACATACTGTCTGCCAGGCACCATATGAGTTGCATTACTATTGGCCATTTTGTAGGGAATTGGAGAGCCATAGAGTAGTATAAGCAGCTGGCACTGATTTTTTTTTTTTTTTGCAAGGAGGGTGTGGTGGTGATGATAAGATTATTAAAATTTTTGTCACCTAATTTTTAACAATTTCAGTCTACTCTCCCAAGTCCTAACTGGGAAGTGCCCAGTGAAAGTCTTCAGTTAAAAATTGTGAATATTTCACTTTCTAAAGAATTCATTAATGGGAATCTATTTTCCCAATTCTCAAGCTAGATTTGATTTGGCCAAGCTTTTGGGGTAGAAGATAGGGATTAGTCAAGGCCCAAGAAATCTTTTTCATTTCTAATTGGCTCTGGGTGGCTGGTCTTGTCTTGTATGCTTCAAGGTCAGACTGTGAACCAACCCAAATTACTCTATGGTTTTACATCTAAGTGAAGCTAAAGTTAGAGTAATGGTGATAATTCCTTATTCAAGATCTGTTTATATTTCACATTTCATTTTATCCCTAAGAACAATTCTGGGAAGTTATAGATAACTTCTAATTTTGATGTAATACTAATGTAATTGTATCCCCATTGAGACACAAAGAAGTAACTTTCTTTCAGATTGGACCGCTAAGGGGCAAAATGAGAACTCAGATCTCCCAGTTCTCAACTTAGTGCTTTATTTGTGTGGAGTTAGAAAATTTGTAAGTACATGTATTTAGCCTAGTGGGCCCTTTTTTTTTTTTTTTTTTAAGATTTTATTTATTCATTTGACAGAGAGAGAGAGCGCGCGCGCACAAGCAGGGAGAGGGGCAGAGGGAGAGGGAGGAGCAGGCTCCTCGCTGAGCAGAGCGCCCGCCGCCGTGGGAACTCTGCTATCATGACCTGAGCTGAAGGCAGATGCTTAACTGACTGAGCCACCCAGGTGCCCCCAAAAGATTTTATTTTTAAGTAATCTCTACACCGAATAGGAGGCTCGAACGTATAACCCCAAGATCGTGAGTTGAGTGCTCCAACTGAACCAGCCAGGCACTCCTAGCCTAGTGGCTTGTAAATGTGATAGGTTGGAGGGAAACAGCTGTTGCATAATCACAGGAGAGAAATGTTTTTATCCCTGACCACTCCTTCCTCCTGCCTGTTTGCCTGCCCACATCAAGAGGCGGGACCAGAATTGGAGGCTGGAATAGTAGTGTAGTTTGGAAAAGCTATCCAGGTGATAGTGACATGGCCTTTTACCCTTTTTTGAGAACAGTTGATAAAGTCAAATGCCTGATTTTCAGTAACACACATTGGCCTCTCTTGACTTATATCATATTTGAAAGTAAGTTTATATTTAGTTGCAGAATTGATGAACATTTCAGGGATTTATGGTTTTCACTTAACTATTGGTTTCATACAAAGTATTATCAAGTTGCAGATAATTCTAACAGTGTTTTATAGTTGGAGAATCTGTAGTATAGGAGAGAGTACTATTTAGTTTGAAGTTGGATAAATCTTTGAAATTCAAAGGAAATTTTTATTACTTGATTTCTCTAATTTTTCTTACGTGATCCATTTAACTTAACTATGAGTCTAAGATAACATCTTTCTTCTAGCACATTACTACTGCCTCTGCATTAGCTTTTCCAGCTACCTGAAATTACTTTTTCTATCCCTGCAAGTCTCAGTTATTCTGAGGCGGAAATAGGTATTTTTAAGTAGATAGTAAGCCCCTTGTTAATTCTGATCACCTGCCTGATACAAAATAGGTAGGAAACAAAATAGATCTGCCATTTAATAAATATGTGACTGCCTCTCTTGTGTCGTACTATTAATAATAGACTCTCCTGAAGAAGCTCACGATTTAATGTGAAGAGAGACTTTTAGTCATATAATTATAGTATCATATCCTGGCATCGTTGCTTCTCTTAGTACCATGGCACGTGTTACTCTTCTAAATTCACATGTCTCACAGTCCTCAAGTAGCCATTACCTATTAATCACATTTAGGACTAAAGAAACCTTTTGATCACTGTTGCTACTGTGTTTTTCACTATCAAAAATTGAAATAAAATAGGAGATATCACATAACTTGTCATGATAAAGATAACTTTGTTTGAACTTTTGGTTATTACATACTTACAGTGTTTATCTTACGGGGTATTGGTGAAAAAAAATTGAAAGTCACTGAATTATGGTATATAATTTTCCTTGTGACAGAAAAGTAAGTGGAAGATTTAGGTGACCTTTTGAAACCACAGTGAGCTTATAAATAGGACTAACTGTAATTTAAAGAGCTTTTAAAGCATATTCAACTATTGAAATAGATTTAAAATTCATCATGTTATTATTGTTGTAACATCAGGCAAGAACTTCCTTCAGTTTGCAAAACTGAAACTGGATGAATGTTTTGCTTTATAATGCATGCACCATTTGGATGACAGTGATGGCGAAAAATACTCTGCAGGAAATGATATCAAATCATAGCAGTTCATTATGGTCTTTCTGGCTATCAGATGATGGATTGTCAGCATTGTTTTCAGCCGACTTAGGTGAATCAAATGGTAGAGTGAATGAAAGAGAAGATTATGAAGCAGGATATGAAAGACTATCAACTTGAATTCTGGTCTATAAATGAGAGGGAGGTAGTGATGCAGTAGTGGTTCATTAGAAAAGAATGTGTTGATTAGTAGCTACCCTTTCCTTTTACAAACCTTTCCTGATAATAAGCCAACGTTACTTATTTGATCATATTCTAAAAATTGCTACTTTTTATTTAAAAACTTAAAAAAAAATTTTTTTTAAGTAATCTCTACACGCAGCGTGGGACTTGAACCCTCAACCCCAAGATCAAGAGTCATATGCTCTACTGACTGAGCCAGCCAGCCAGATGCCCCTAAAAAATTGTTACTGATTAAAGTAACTAAAGCCTTAAACCTTGTTGCTCATTTTTTTCTCCTTGCATATGTATATTGTTACTGGTGTTTTCTGTCGGTTTTAAATAATTATTTTAGCCTGCAACCCTTTTCCTCAAAGCTTCTGTAGCTTGGGAGGAAAGCTTTAACAGTAGAATTAGTCTTCTCTTTCCTGTTAAGATTTGTATTGTACAAAATAAAACGCTTCTTAAATTCTTGTTTTTATATGTGGTGTCTCCCCATCTTTGCTCTTCACTTTGCCCTCTTTATTTATGTATGTATGTGGCAGGTTCTAGACATATAGATTTCTACCATCTCAACTAACATTTCACTGAGAGTAACATGTTTTCTCTTCATATCTTCATATATAAGTTAATTCTTTCAGTTTTCGTAATTAAGTTTCATGAACTGATTTTGTCTCTTTCTATGTAGAGAGGAAGGTGGTTTGTAATAGGCTGTCTGATATCTGTTCATTGTAATTCTAGTATTAACCTATGGAAGTCCATCCTTCTCTCTTCCTAGTCTGTGTGGTTTGGTGTGGGTGTTCTTCCCCAAATTCAGAGTTGGGAACACA